TCGGCGTCTAGGAACTCCGTCGGAGCCTACTTGGTTCCGGTGATGAAGTGAATGAGATCAAGGCCATTAAGGGTTAAGTAGACGTGCTTACGCCATACCGGAAAATTGTCGTTAGTAAGGGTAACGTTAAAGTGGGTGGAGGCAGTGAGTTGAATAACCGTGATTGGTGCCATGTAAGAAGGAGGTGCAGTAGGATCAATTCTCGTTTGAGATGGAGGCTCTGATACCATATAAGAGCTTGATTTGAATAGAAAAGTTTGTGCATTATTAGACAGAATACAAAGACTATAAATAGCCATTTACAATATACATACAATGGTAAGAAGAGATCTACGACTAATTCTATGATAAATAATATCAATCACAATAATTATCTAAATATAACTTAAAGGAGAAAAGGGAAATACAATTAATACATGATCAATGATTAGTTTCCTTAATAAACTAAACTACAAGAAATATCTAGTAAAGATGAACAAACAAGAATGTTAAGAAGATTGGGAGCACTCTATGCTTCTATTACTCAAAGTCTAGAACGTGGAGTGTGATTTACAAATGAAAAGCTACCGCTATTTTTATTAGAGAAAATTATTTACATATATTTACAAGGAAGCTTCTAGTTACACAAGCTCTAACCATGTGTGGATCCTTCTAGATCTTGCTTATCTCTTCTTAAGGTTTCTCCATTCTCTTGATTTATCCAGTATATTATGCATTACTATTTCTGGATAACCTCTTAGCAGAACGTGACAATAACCTGGTAATTTAGAAAAGGAAGTTGATATTCTTTGGAGGTCTTAAAATCGGTTTTGGAAAGTTTGTCATTTTATTACTTCTCTTTGTTTCATGTCTCTGTATCTTCTCAAAAGAGCGAGGAAGAATTTTATATGCCCATAACACGTGTCACACAACGATACCAGTAAGGAATACGTCACACAAAAAATACATATGATTCAATATGTTTATTGGATAATATACAAATTTTATGGGGTTAGGCATAGTAAGGGTGGTGATTAGATGGGTTTGGACTAAATTTCCACTCTTCTTTTGGGAAATTTATGGAAATGGGAAATATACAAAAAAATTTATTGATAAAAATTACAAACCAAATGAATTTAACCACAAAAATCATCTAGTGAAATTTCCATCGGTGATTATCGACGAATCACCCAAAAAATATTCATGGTTCGATAAGATCCGATGTTTTTCAAGTATATACCAACATATCACCCCAAAAATATATGAGTAGTTTGTAACTAATTTGAATTTTCCACCAACAATTTATCCACCAACTTTTCTAATGGTCTTCTGACGAATCACCCTTTTAGTGACGGACTTCCTAAGGAAACATCCATAGGTAAAAATCTTCCTTTTAGTAGTGAAAATAAGTGGATAATTTCAAGTCATGCAGCAGGTTTTCTAGACTTTTTCGCTTAGAATGCAACCCTAAAGTCAAGTTCACGATCATGTCACTTGGATTGAGGGGATATGGGTGTGGAAATTGTAATTAGGTTTGTCCTTCTTGGGGGAGAGCTTCAAGTGATTTTACTGACTTAATTTCTTTCTTGCAGAATATCACTCCTAAAGTTTCCGATAGGAATTCCGCTTGTAGGCTCCAATTATATTGGAGGGATCTTTCAACACTTGATCTCTTCGGTATACGGTGGATAAATTATTTCTGTAATCTTCTGTTGATGATAAAGCCATGTTATGAAATAAGCTAGTTCCTAGAAACGTGAATGCCTTCACTTAGAGGGCAAATTACCGTTTCTTCAGAAGCTCAATTGAAGAGGAATCGAACTAAGTTCAATGCTTTGCTCGTTTCATAGAGATCATGATGAATGATTATGTATTAGGTTGCAAGGTCCCCTTGTTGCTATGGAATTGCATATTTAAATGGTGGAATGTCAACTTTGTTCTAGCTTCTTCCGTCTCCGAGTCAATTGAATTTCGATGGTAGGAGGCAAATAACGGGATTGTTGAAGGATGTGTGGCAAGGGGTTCTTTGGATTGCAACTGAATCTCAGGATTGCTTGTATATTGAAGGGGCTAAATTCTGGCGATGGTCTTTTTGGTAATATATATCTAGTTTAAATCCTTTGATTGGATTGGATTGGATTGGTTCAAGACTCAAAGATGGTTTGGTTTAAATTCCCTTCTTTTGATGTGGCTTGAGGTTATGTTGTTCCTCTTTTCTAGTCTTTATGGTTTTGTTTGTAGGGATGTTTGTTTTGTTTTTAATAAAAGGTTGTATGTAAGAAAGAAAAAAAAATGTTTTAATATTATTAAGCAAGTGTAGCTAGCTAGAATGAAGGGAAGAGAGTGTAATTATATATATATTAAACCCATGTTGGTACGTGGTTGTCGTTTAAAGCAAGTATAGAAAATAGATATAGAACGGAAGCAAGTGTAAGTGTAATAAAAAACACAAGGGATAGGGATGCTAGCTACTCAACAAAAACAAAAACAAAAACAAAAACAAAAACAGAAATAGAAACAAAAACAAAAACAAAAACAAAAACAAAAACAGGATCATGGAGAACCTCCAATTAATTTCAACACTCTTCAATTCCTTTCTTTCACATTTTAATATTTATTTTCTGGTATTGTATATGTATATATGTTTTTATTTGAAGAAAATAGGATTTTATTAATGAGTAATATATATAAAAATACAAAAGAAAGGAGGGAAGGAAGAATTAAAGAAACATGGGACGGCATATCATTACCATCCATCACGGAGTTTATTTGATATTATATTATTTTCATTAAACAAAAAAAGAGGTGATGAATTGAAAGGTGTTGGATATGGTCGGCCTACCCTTACTATCTCTATGTCGTTTGCATAATTAATCCAACATCCATATATATATATATATATATATATATATATATATATATATATATATATGTTGCAAATTCAATTAATACAATAATTTCAATCTATGGAATTATTAATTTTGCATCAAACCGTCCACCATTATCAATGCATGCATCCCTCCCTCCCTCCCACACCCCTTCACCTTTTTCCACATTGCTTCCCCCTTCAACTCAACAAAATCAATTTTCATTTCAATTTCTTCTTTTTTTTTCTTTATAAATCTCAAATTTTCTAAAACTTATAATTCACCGTACTTTATTAAATACTCATCTATTTTCTAAAGGATTTTCTTATTTATATCATTATCTACACCTATTTTCTATTTCTTATATATGTTCTTATGAATAATTAGTTATAATTAATTATGTTGTTTACGTCATTCATTTTTTTCAACTCTTTTTTACGGACAAAAACATATCATCTTAAAAACTTGAAATCATCAACTTTCTTACATTTTTTCTCGTTACTGTTTTTTTTAAGTATGATATATGAAAACAAAATAAATTGTTAATGATACAATAATTTCAAAAACATAACATACAAAAATAATAATTTATAACAAACCAAGAGGACGAAAAATACATATTGTTTACTCATAAAGTATGAAATTTGGTACAATTTTGTCAAATGTTTGTTTCAACATACCAATTTTACTTGTTTCAATCAAACCCCATAATATATTTTTGAAAATTTCCATGAATTTGCGGTATGTATTCTTGGAAATAGTTACGTAGCAATCATTCTCAAGGATTTGCATCCTTATGTTGGTTTGCAAGAAGAGTGATGGAAACATCGTCGTCTTCCCTGGGCCTTTTTTTATTTTATTTTTATTTTGTTAGTAATGGTATTTGTTTGATATATATGGTGGGATATAAAGTTTCTTTCTGAAAAAAAAAAAAAAGGTTAAAAGTAATTTTCAATGATAAATATGAAATTTAATAAATAGTTATATATGTCAAAGAGGTTTCACCTCCTGATCACCTTATAAAGTATATTATTATATTTATAAATTTCAATATTTATCATACATTAAATATGTTTACGGGTTACGAATTATCTGTAAATAACAATTTGACAATAATTTATAAACATAATTAAGATTAATTAGTAAAGATAATAAGTCATAAATTGGAAAAAGAAGAAGAAGAAGAAATAAGCACTTGTGATGTGGATGTAGATGTGGATGGGGATGGCTTTACAAACAACACATAATTAATTTCCCATCAACATTGCCGCTGTATCCGTGATGGTTTTTCCTATTAAACAAACTTACAATATCATGTTATTATCATTTTACAATCTTAAAACCTTACAAATGGTTATTTATTAATTTTAATTATAAAAGTATTTATGTAATGTAACGAGAATATTTCAATTTTAATGTAATCTATTTTTGATTTAATAATATGATTCTTATAAAAATAATAATTAAATATTTTGTTATAATATAATAATTATCTTAATTAATTATATTTTAGATTTTTTATATTTAAAATAAAATATTTATCCAATATTTAATTATGTTTATCGACATTTAGTTACATAAATTCAAGCATAAAACTTTATAAGTTATACGTATACCTTATATACTTGTAATCTTCAACTTTAAGTAATATATAATATTTTATGTATAAAAAATTATTCTCAAGTATTTTTATCAAATATTTATTATAGTATAAATTAAGAAATAAAAAATTTGTTTAAAAAAAAAAGAAATAACAAATTAAAATGTGAACATAAATGGAAATGAAAAGAGTATGATGTAAGCGGAGACGAGTAGGATGAGGATGGGGATGCGGAGGACAACTTGCTCACCAAGCTTTCCATTTCTACGCCCTCCTTTTCCATGACGACGCGTCATCGCTTATTAAGCATCCCCTCATATCCAATTTCTCTCTCTTTTTTTTTAAATAAAAAAATATAACTGTCTATATATACCCCTTCCATCCCTCCACTCTCTCCATTTTCCATTACACACTTTCAATCTCTCTCTCTCTCTCTCTCTTCCATACCACCACCACCATTATCATCATCATAATTCATTACTCTCTCTCTTTCTCTCTCTTCGATATCATCATCATCGTTGTTTGTTAATTGATTACCAAAATCAAAAGCAGATATGGGTGGTTGTTTCTCTTCCCCTGATCATCAGTCTGTTGTTTCCAATACCAATTCCGCCCTCGTCATATCTCCTACAGGTGAATTGCGACCTTATTCTACTCCCGTCTTTGTTTCTGATGTTCTTCAATCCCATCCTTCTTTCTTCCTCTGTAACTCCGACAATTTGTCTTATGATCAACTTATTACACCTTTAGATGCCCACGATGAGCTTGATGCTGCTCAGATCTACTTCCTTGTACCAATTTCTAAGCTTCACCATCGTCTCACTGCTTCCGAAATGGCCGCACTCGCAGTCAAGGCCAGCCTCGCCCTCAACACTACCAACATATCCTTATCACGCACTCCTTCCTCTTCTACATCATCGAAACCCACCCCTACTACCCACAAGAGGAAAAGCAAATCTAAGATCTCTCCCTTTGTGGTCATGGAAACCAGCAAGATCAATGTGATTGTGGATCAAAGTAAGCGCTTGGTTGAGACCACTACTGCTAAGCAACAGATAGGAGTGTCTAGATCGGGATCCATTCGCAGAATACAGAGATATTCCTCAAGGAAAGCTCGTTTGGCTGTTAGATCATTTAGGCTTCGATTGTCGACCATATATGAAAGTGAATCCTCCGATCAATCTCAATCTCACAAGTACTACTAGCTATCTAGCTTGTATTCTGATTTTGTTTTAATTTGATTCTTTAGTTTTGGGGGCTTGAAGAAATCAATATATGTATGTATGTATATACCGGACGGACTGAGAAATGAGAATTGAAACAGAGCTATTGAGAATGGATCCACGCAACTTTGTTGTATATAAAAGTCAAATGTTTGAATCCATCTCATTCATTTTATTTTATCTGTGAAATTGATCATCATCATATTACTAGAAAAAACAAAGAATTCAACATTAGTTAGGGCTTTTGTTTGATTCCTTCAACCAATCCAAAATTCCATATTAAACAATACACAAAAAGACAAACAATTTACATACTCTAATATATATATTTGAAAAATGTCAACTCCAACCTTATCATTTTCATGATGATCCATGTTTTTACAACATCATCTTTTTTCCACTCCATCTAAAATAACAGCAATATCTTACCCTTCATGAGTTATGGTTCAATTTTGGAGTATGTACGTTTATCATAAATCAATTAATAGTTTACAAAAAATATGTATATATAAAGGGTTTGATATGAAAAAGTAGAAAGGCAAGAAAAAGAAGATGAATTGAATGGAGAAAAAGGGGAAAACGAAATGAAATGAAATGAAATGAAATGAAATGAATGGTGGTGTACGTGACTTTTGACCCAAAATCAAGGTCTTCTTTTGCTTTTATATTTGTTCACATGTAACTTAATTTATTGCTTTGCTTTCAAATTAACCGCTACTCATTCAATCATTAATAATAACTAGTATTTGACATCACATGTTGATTTTAATGAATATTTTAAATAAATAACATAATATATTTCATACATCTACTATTTTTCTTTTATATGTATAATGACCTTCAATCTATCATGTTTTCCATCAATATGAATAAGGAAAACATCACAATTGAATATTTTTATACTTAAATTTCATAATACTACTTCATGCCCTACAATCTTCATTTTATATGCATACCTATATAGATACGGATCTCTACATTGAAATATCCCTACGTTATGAACTATAGTTTTTACTATTGATAAGATTATGCCATTTTTTTGTATTTAATTAAATAACTTGTGTGTGTATATTCTTTTTGTAAAAAGGAGGATCGGTCAAAAGTTATATTCTAGGCAACTAATTTTTTTTAAAGAAATACACTCTTTTAATATACCATATATATTTTGCATACAATCATCTTTCATACTTGTAAGATAACAAAAATCATACTACAATTCAAAAAAAAAACCTTAAATCTCATAATATCATTTCATATGTTGATTTAACAAAAAGAAATTGTAAAAGGAGGTTGACAAAAGACAACCAAAATCACAACATACTTATAAGATTTTAAAATACTTGAATCTAATAAAGATTTTTTTTAATTTTTATTTTGAATAGTTAACATTTTTTTTGCTAAAAAAAAGTTGGCCAAAATGAGTCAACCCATGAGCTCGGAGTGTAACATCCCAAAATTTCGAATGCTTCAATATATCATAATGAATATCCCAAGATCAAACACTTACATTGCAGTGAAAATAAAATTTCTAATCTTACAATTATATCATCATCTAAAATTTCAATCTTGAGGAGCATAACTTTGCTCTATATAACAATGACTTGATCTGCACATATCCTTCTTTGGAGCTAATCCTTTTATCTCTTTATTGCACTTTTCTTTCCACTTAAATAGCCGCCCGGGTGAAAAAGTTTTAAAAAAGTTTTGGGTGAGCTTTAGGCCAAGTGAATCCACGGGTTTCATGCATGAACAACAACTTTTATAATAAACAATTTTCACGAAGCTTCATAAATTAGTATGCCTTGATGAGAATAATATTTTTCACAAAGTAAAGATATTATGATGCGTGTCTACATCACAAAGCAACAGCGTCAATGGAAGATGTCTACCTCACACAGCATTACCTGGCGAACTCACACAACATGTCTGCACTTACAGTTTAGACAAGCTCACAAAGCATGCTCGTCTTTACAAAATCATATCGTAGTACATCCCCATTGACACACAAATACTCAAAACACATATAAATATCAAACTTTTCATGCGTATATAGCATATCAAAATTCTCGAGAAACTTCAAACAACTTTTGGAGAATAAGGCATGCAACCATTTTAAAAATAAATCACGTGTAACTCACTGTATAATTCGTAGTCCAAACTGTTCTCTGAAGAGGCTAGCGTCTCCCGATTGGTGCCAAACTAGCTACGATGTAGAGCACCGTCAACTCTCATTACAGCGTCCATCGTCGCCTTTTCTCACAATAGTTATTCTTATCCCTCAACTACACATACAGCTACAAACTCCCATTTTATACTAAATCCCATCGACGGTTTCATGGAATATGAAACGATAAGCCATAATAAATGATCGTAGGTTTTATGACCATTGAGTTTCCTATCATTAAATTGCATTCAAGTTTAGGGTCTAAACCCTTCACTTTGATCGTTTTACACTATTAGTCCTTGAAATTTAACGACTAACAATTTCTTTTTTTTTTTGGTTATTATACGGAGGGTCGGCCAAAAATGAGCCAACAATGTGAATTTTGAGGATCAATCAAGAGAAGCTAACCTCATGAGTTTTCACAAAGATATCTCAACCTCCCTTTCATATAACCATCATTGATTGTTAATCTTTCATATCTCCATCAATGTGAATATAGAGAACTCAACCACTATTTAAGAGATGAAGAATACTTTATTCTTAAGATAAACCTTCATTCATTTTAAGTTTTACTCTAAGATATATTAAATATAAGAATTACTACTTGGTTTTACCATCTGGTTGACTTTGATTTTAACCATGATTTTTCATTACTATAATTCTCATGTTTAGGGTTATTTAAATATAAATGATATATTTTCATTGATATTGTTTCTTGTAACAAAAATAATTTCATACATTTTCTTATTTTTTTATGCAAAAATAATGTTTTGACATTAAAAATTGTTCAAAAATGGTTAGTTGCAAGCAAATGTGCAATATTAACTGTTATTATGAGTGTACACAAAATTAGTCTTTCCAATTTTGTATTTTAGCTTATAATGCTTGTTTTTGACTTAGTTATTAACGGATTCTGAAATAGATTGCATGTAAAAATTACAATTTACACCACTATCAAAAATTTGAGAGTATTAAAATCTCATAAATCTTCATTATCTTTGGTTGTTCTTTTAGCATATGCCATTTTTTGATTAATTTTTTTAAAAGTTGCTAGAAAAAAAGAGGTAGGCCGAAAAGGAACTTTGTAAATTGTCACAAACCTTTTTAATTTTGAAAGACATCACCTCCTCCCTTGATATACACATCATCTCATTTCATTGGATTATATTCTTATCAACATAGGACAACTGAGGTAACATCACAAAATTTTGTGTCACTCTTGTAAGATTTTTAATAAAAAAATGAGGTTGGCTAAACAGAATCAGTATAATAAAGTGTCACAAACCCTACCCTATTAGTTTTGAGAAGAATCTCGTATTCTTTTCATATAAACATCATCTCATTTTATAAATTTATATTCTCACTAATGTAGAACAACCAAGTAACACCTCAAATTTTGATTAATATATATTGATTTCATTTATTATCTTCTCCTTTTATATACCGGCAAACATTTGTCATAATAATAATAATAATAATAATAATAATAATAATAATAATAATAATAATAATAATAATAATAATAATAGTAAATTTCTTTTGTAAAAAAAAAACATTTGCCAGAATCAGGCAACTCTATATTTTTAAACAAACAGTTTTAGAAAAATAAGATGGCCAAAAGTTAAATTTAACCAACTTAAGAATTTTGCATTTAAATTCTTTATCTCCTCCTATATAATAATTTTTTTTTTTTGCAAAATCGATTCAACGGAAATGAGCCAAATAATATATATATATTTTTAAACAAATATTTTTTTTGCAAAAAGGGATCTTGCCTAATGTTTAAATATATATTTTTTAGAAAAATAAGGTGGCTAAAAGTTACATTTAACCAACTCAAGCATTTCAAATTTCAATTCATCATCTCTTCATTTTATAAACTCACTAATATTTGTCAAACATTATTCTCTCTATCAATGTAGAGCAACCAGGCCCGTTCCTGACATTTTATAGCCCTGAACGAACGTAAAAACATGGTCCACTGCAAGAAACAAGACAACGACTTTTGTCGTCACTAAAAGTTCATTTATCATCAGAAAAAATATATAACAACAACATGTCGTCGTTATAACTTGTGACGGAAACATGTCATCCCTAAAAAGCGCATCGTCAGAGCTCACTTTCTTGTAGTGACCCTCAGTAAGTATGAAAAAAAAATTCAATAATTTTTTTTCATTAATATAAAATTGAGTACAAAAAATGCTAATAATTTACTGAGGAAMGAAATCTTAATAACAAGAAATATTTGTTATTTTGATATAAAAAGAAAATTCGTGTGAATGAAGTAATCATGAGGGTTAATGAGAGATCAATAATAAATAAGATTATCAAGGTTTTCTATACAAGTAGACAAATGAAGATCAATAAAAATATGAAAGAAAAGATGATCCATTGAAATTCAATAAGAATAAATAATGAATTAAACATATAATATGCAAGCTCAATAAATGATTGTTTGAGCACTTAAATAGAATCTTGTGATGTGATAGAATCCCAATGACAGATACATAAGTCAAACAATTGATGAAAATATTTAAATTCTATTTTTCTTCTTTTCTTGTTCAACTAAAATAAGATGTTAAAATTAAAAGTTTATGGAACATGACATATATAAGAGACATTATTAAATACATCTAGTAGAATTTTTTTATTAATTAATCACAAAACCATGAAATACGTCGTAAATTATAAGAACAATAGATTGATTGACAAATAATAGTAAAATATTTTATGTAGAAGCAAAAATAGATAACAGTAATCAACAAAAACAATTAGAACAAGAATACTAAATAGCAATAGTCAATAGAAGTATAAATGG